TTTGTCAGATATAGTTTGAAAATATTTTATCCCACTCTGTAGGTTGTCTGTTCACTCTGTTGATGCTTTCTTTTGCAGTGCAGAAGCTTTTTAGTTTACTTAACTCCCAGTTATCAATTTTATTTTTGCTGTATTTGCTTTTGTGATCTTAGTCATAAATACTAATACTTGCCTAGGCCAATGTCCAGAAGAATTTTACCTAGGTTTTCTTCTAGAATTCTTATGGCTTCAAGTCTTATATTTCAGTCTTTAACCCATCTTGAGTTACATTTTATATGTTGTGAAAGAAATGGATCCAGTTCCATACATGTGCCTGTGGCTCTCCAATTTTCCAAGCAACATATATTGAATAGGGCATCCTTTCTCTAGTGTATGTTTTTGTCTGCTTTGTCAAAATCAGTTGGTTGTAGGTGTATGGTTTTATTTATGGGTTCTCTATTCTATTCCTTTGACCTACATGTCTACATTTGTACCGGTATCATGCTATTTTGGCTACTATAGCAGTATAGCATAATTTGAAGTCTGGTAATGCGATGCCTCCAGATTTGTCCTTTTGGCTCAGGATTTCTTTGGCTATTCAGGCTCTTTTTGATTCCAAATGAAATTCAAGATTGGATTTTCTACTTCTGTGAAACATGACTTTGGTATTTGGATGGGAATTGCATTTAGTCTGTAAATCACTTTGGGTGATGTGGACATTTTAACAATATTGATCCTTCCAATCTATGAGCCTGAGATGTTTTTCCATTTGTGTCATCTATGATTTCTTTCATCACTGTTTTTTAGTTCTACTTGTAGAGATCTTGCACCTCCTTGGTTAAGTATATTCCTAGGTATTTTAATTTTGTTTTGCAGCTATTGTAAATGGTATTGAGTTCTTAATTTACTTCTCAGTTTGGCTATTATTATCATATAGAAATACTACCGATTTGTGTACATGCAGATCATATCATCAGCAAGGAGAAATTGTTCAACCTCCTGTTTTCTGACTTGAATGTCCTTTATTTCTTTGCCTTGCCTGATTGCTCTGGCTAGGACTTCTAGTACTATGTTGAATAGAAGAGGTGAAAGTGGGCATCCTTGCCTTATTCCAGTTCATAGAGGGAATGATTTCAAATTTTCCTCATTCAGTATGATATTGGCTATGGGTACGGCCCATATAGCTTTTATTATTTTGAGGTATGTTCCTTCTATGCCTACTTTTTTGAGGGTTTTTATCATGAAGAAATGCTGGATTTCATTGAACGCTTTTTCTGCATCTATTGAGATGATCATATAATTTTTGTTTTTAATTCTATTTATGTGGTGAATCACATTTATTGATCTGTGAATATTGAACCATCTTTCCATCCCTGGAATGAAATCCACTTGATAATGGTGAATTATCTTTTTAATGTGCTTTTGATTCAGTTAGTATTTTGTTGAAGATTTTTGCATCTATGTTCATAAGGGATGTTGGCCTGTGGTTTTCTTTTTTTGTTGTATCCTTTCCTGGCTTTGGTATCAAGGTGATACTGGTTTCATAGAATAAGCTAGGGAGTATTCTCTCCTTGCTGGTCTCTTGGAATGTTTCAGTAAGATAGTTACCAGTTCTTCTTTGAAGGTCTAGTAGAATTTAGCTGTGAATCCATCTGGTCATGGGCTTCTTTTTGCTAGAATATTTTTATTACTCATTCAATCCTACTATTTGTTATTTATTTGTTCAGGATTTCTATGTCTTCTTGATTCAAGTTTGGGAGCCTGTGTGCTTCCAAAAATTTATTTATGTACTCTAGATTTTCTAGTTTGTATGCATAGAAGTGTTCATAGTAGTGTTGGATGATCTTTTGTATTTCCATGGTATCAGTTGTAATGTCTCCCTTTTCATTTCTAATTGAGCCTATTTGAGTCCTCTCTCTTTTCTTTGTTAATGTAGCTAGTGTCCTATCCATTTTGTTTTTCTTTTCCAAGAATCAACTTTTCATTTCATTGATTTGATCCTTTGTATTGTTTTTTGTTTCAAATTTTGTTTACTTCTGCTCTGATCTTTGTTGTTTCTTGTCTTCTGCTAGCTTTGGGTTTGATTTGTTCTTGTTTTTCTACTTCCTTAAGGTGTGACATTAGGTTGATAATTTGTGATCATTCTGTCTTTTTGATGTAGGCATTTATTGCTATATACTTAACTCTTGGCACTGCTTTTGCTGTGCCCCAGGGATTTTGGTAACTTGTGTCACCATTGTCATTCAACTCAAAACAATTTTTTATTTCCATCTTGATTTCATCATTGACCCAAAGATTTTTCAGCACAAGCTTGTTTATCTTCTATGTATTTGTATATTTTGAGAGTTCCTCTTGGAATTGGTTTCCAGTTTTATTGCACTACAGTCTGAGAAGATACATGATATTGACTTTGATTTTTTTTAAATTTGCTTTGACTTGTTCTGTGGCCTAATATATGTTTTATCTTAGAAAATGTTCCATGTGCAGAATATATATTCTGCAGTTTCTGGGTAAAACATTCTGTGAATGTCTGTTAGATCCATTTGTTCTAGAGTCCCATTTAAGTCCAATGTTCTTTGTTGATTTTCTGCCTTGATGGTCTAGTTCTATAAGTGGAGTGTTGAGTTCCACCACTATTATTATGCTGCTGTTTATTTCTTTTCTTAGGTCTAGTAGTATTTGTTTTCAGTGAATCTAGAAGCTCTAGTGTTAGGTGCATATATATTTAGGATTTTTATATCTTCTTGTTGAATCAATCCCTTTATCATTATATAATGACCATCTTTGTCTTTTTCTACTATTCTTGAATTACAGTCTGTTTTATCTGATATAAGAATAGCTATTCCTGCTTGCTTTGAGTTTCTATTTCTGTGGAGTATTTTTTGCACCTCTTTTCCT